ATCCACATTTAGAGAAACTCTAAAAGAAGGCATCATTTTGGAAACTATGATAGAAATTTTAGGCATCACCATACAAGGGTATATGATCAGTGAAGGAAAGGAAAGTCCATGTGGGTGACAGAATATATTTTGTGAATGGTTGTATGTGCACTTATTGCAATTAGATACTTTTGCCTTTGTAACAGACATCAAAATATAAATAGCATACAGGAGTATAAACGGTAAATTTCCACTGGCTGAATTCTACTATTGCTGTCCTTTTGCTTCTGTTACCTGGAATGCTGCAAATTACCAAACTTTGCCTTGTAAACATAGTCAGCCTTGATGCATATAATATGTGAGGGATGAAATTCACTTAAAGGACACATGGACAAGCCAAATGGGGGTAGGAAATGTGTGGAGTGGGGAGGGGGAGGGGAGGGAAATGGAGACAACTGTACCTGAACAACAATAAAAGAAAAGGGGAAAAAACTACAGTAGACACTTGTATAACATAAATAAATACATCAAGAATGCAGGGACAGATCTTCTATTTTTTATTGAGAATGTTCCATTTATTTTCAGAGTCTGGTTATATATCCTACTCATGGGCACTTTTGAAACCCTTTAGTTTTATTGAGTAGAAGTTCTTTTTGAACCTTATTTATAGTAATAAAATGTTGGCTAGAAAGAGATTAGTGTACTGAGCAAGTGTTTCTGGAACCTTTTTAGACGTGAGGTTGAGTTCTTCTTACAGAATAAAAACTCCTCTTTTCCCCTCACTTATGCACCATATGCTTCTTGAAGAGCAAAACTGTTTTTCGCTTTCAATAGCTCTGAATGGTGAACTGTTAAAATTTCACTGTTGAGTATGAAAATATATTATTTCATACATTAAAGGTTAAAAGACACAGCCCTTGGTTAGTGTCAAATTAGCAACTATCCACCTGTCCTGCAATTCTATACAAAAGACTAGCGATTTCATAATTCGAGAATGGTAGCACAGTGGCAACTGCCAAAGGTCTGGATGCAGCCAAACTCTCAGTTCTTGACTTACCATCTTCATGAACGTGGGAAAACCTAATCTTCCCAGAAGTTCAGATTACTTAACCAAACAAAAGAATAAAAATAGTACTTAATTCACAGGGTTAATTTAAGTTTAAATTAGATTTGGCACATGCTTAAAACCCAGAAGGGAATTAATAAAAGATAATCATCAACATATTGCACTGCCACCTAAATGTAGATAAATGTTAATATGATTTTCTAAATGTTTACTTACCATAGTGCCTGATTTTGAAAGTTATTATGACATTACTCTCAGTATTTCGCATGCATTAGCCTATTTAATCTTCACAAAAATCCTAAAAGGAGATGGTGAATATTAACACCACTTATGTACAAGGGACCTGAGGCACAGGGAAGCTAGGAATTCATGGAGCTGGGATTCTCACAGCGGTAGCGTAGTTTCTGGCAACAGTGCCCAAACTCTGAACCACTCTCCTCTTAAATAACATCCATCACATTTAAAGCTTTCTTTTAGCTAAGCAGTTTTGTTGAAATTACATTTTCTATCATGTTTCTGCTTATTCCAGGGCAGCCTGCCCTGGGATTTCAGATTTAATTCTGTACGGGTTTTTTTTTTCCAGTTTTCTAATTTAGTTTCATTTTCACATTTATCTTAATAACCCAAGGTTCTCTCTCTGCCACTGAACAGATCTTGCTGGCATCTTTCCTATGTATAGAAACTTTGCTCATCAAAACCATCTTGTTCAACTCCCTCATCCTTGCAGGGTTACAATTTTCCTCTTCCCATTTCTTTCTCTTCAGATAACTTGCGAAGATCCCTCCATATAAGAATGTAGTATCATTAAGAGTAGGCCTACATAGTTTTAAAGGATAGAAACAGAATCAATTTACTATAATGAACACAGAAAGAACTTACTGATGTTTCATCCTTTGAAATTTATTCTCAGAATACATGACATTTTATATGAATAACTGAGGTCACTTTTAGGGGAATATATTCTTGCTTTAAATTATAAAAAGAACATGATGTAACTAGAGTTCTAAATTTCATGGATAAAAATTCACAAATTTCTATGGGAAAACATAGAAAGTAAGAATATTATTCTGTCAATTTTTTCTATCAGACATAAAAGCAAGTTTGATTTTCTAAATTATTAAAGGACTTTTTACATATTTTGGAGATCAAACCCATGTCCAAGTTATTGGCAAACATATTTTCCCATATTGTTGGTTCACTTTTCATTTTGATGATGTTTTCTTTAGCTGTGCAGAAGCTTTTTAATTGGATGAGGTCCCATTTGTTTATTCTGCCCTTTATATTCCTCGTTCTAGGGGACATATTGGTGAAAATATTGCTGTGTGGACTATCTGAAAATTTCCTGCCTATGTTCTCCTCTAGGACTTTTATGGTGTCATGACTCATGTTTAAGTCTTTTATCCACTTTGAGTTTATTCCAGTATATGGTGTAAGTTGGTGGTTGAGTTTCACATGACTCCACACCAGGAAGACAAACAATCCAATTAGAAAAGGGGCAAAGGACCCGAACAGACACTTCTCCAAGGAGCGGGCCCAGAGACATAGGAAAGGATGCTCAGCATCACTAGCCATCAGAAAGATGCAAATTAAAACCACAATGAGATACAATTTCACCTTGGTCAGAATGGCAATCCCTAACTAATCAACAAAGAAGTGCTGGTAAGGATGTGGAGAAAAGGGAACCCTAGTGCACTGTTGGTGGGAGTGCAGGCTGGTGGAGCCACTGTAGAAAACAGTATGGAATTTCCTCAGAAAACTGAAAATGGAACTACCTTTTGACCCAGTAATTCCCCTGCTGGGATTATACACTAACAATTCTTGAATCACCAATTCAAAAGAACCTATACCTCTCTGTTCACAGCAGTACTATTTACAATAGCTAAGTGCTTGGTAACAGCATAAGTGTTCACTAATAAAGGAATGGATAAAAAAATCTGTGGTACATTTACACAATAGAATACTATGGGGCAGAAAGAAAGAAGGACCTCCTATGTTTTGCAACAGCAAAAATGAAACTGAAGAGCATTATGCTAAGTGAGATAAGCCAGGCAGTAAAAGAAAAATACCATATGATCTCACCTGTAAGTGGAACCTAATCAATAAAATAAATGAACTAAATAGAACCAGAGGCATGGAAACAAGGAACAGACTGATAGTGACCAGAGCAGAGGGGAGAGGGGGATAAGGGTGGAAAGTAGGGGAAGGGACTAGTCAAGGAACATGTATGAGTGACCCATGGACAGGCACAACAGGGTGGGGACTCACTGTGGGTGTCAGGATGGGCTGGGAGGAGGAGAGCAAAGGGGGAAAAATCAGGACAATGTAATAGAACAACAATAAAATATTTAATAAAAAATCTTACCCAAACTGAAAATATATTTGCCAAATAGGATAAACAGTGAGTAAGGTGAAAAAAGAAACGCTATAAACTCAGTAAGATACAAGTGACTTATAGAAGAGAATTTAAAATTGTTAATAAATGTTTTAGTGATCAATGAAATGAGAAATTAGATCAACATGGATATTTAATATTTATATTGCAAATTATTGCATGTGATGTTGGCAGCCTATTATTGGAGAGGCGTGTTCTTGCTTTTAGGATTCTGATGCCAAGGATCTGGCACTAAACTCCCAACAGCCATGCTTAGTTAGGTATACTGCCTATCTTCTGCCTCTAGGTGCCCTCCCTGGTGACATGTGACCACCTCCGGACTCACTCCTGTATCTAAATATTGACAAGTTGTACTTCTCCTGTCAAATCAGTAGACATACCTGGTTTTCTAATTCACTAAAAATATAGTCTGGTGTACATAGCTAATATTCTCTCTACTATGGTTTGTTTTATTTTATTTTGAAATTTATTTATTTTTATATAATTTTATTATTGTTCAAGTATAGTTGTCTGCATTTACCCCCACCCCAGCCATCCCCACCTCCCTCCCCTGATTCCACCCCTCCTTGGTTTTGTCCATGTGTCCTTTATAGCTGTTCCTGAAAATCCTTCCATCCTTTCCCCTCATTATCTTCTCCCACCTCCCTTCTGGTTATGGTCAGCTTGTTCTTAATTTCAATATCTCTGGTTATATTTTGCTTGCTTGTTTGTTTTGTTCATTAGGTTCCACTTATAGGAGAGATCATATGGTATTGGGGACCGAATACACAACCAAAAATGAAAGAGGAGAGATTACAACTGATATCACAGAAATACAAAGGATTATAAGAAATTACTGTGAAGAACTATATGCCAAAAGATTTGAAAACCTAGGTGAAATGGACAAATTTCTAGAAAAATATAACCTTCCAAAACTCAATGAAGAAGAAGCAGAAAGCCTGAATAGACTAATAACAGCTGATGAAATTGAAGCAGTAATCAAAAAACTCCTGACACACAAAAGCCCTGGACTGGATGGTTTCACAGCAGAATTTTACAAAGCATTTAAGGATGAGCTAACATCTATCCTTCACAGACTATTCCAAAAAAATCCAAGAAGATGGAAGACTACCAAACTCTTTTTATGAAGCCAGCATCATCCTAATCCCAAAACCAGATAAACACATAGAAAAGAAAGAAAACTTTAGGCCAATATCACTGATGAACATAGACACTAAAATCCTCAACAAAATATCGGCAAACCACATCCAGCAATGCATTAAAAAGATCATACACCATGATCAAGTGGGATTCATCCAGGGGTACAAGGATGGTACAATATTTGCAAATTGATAAATGTAATACTATAGTCTATTTTAAAATAAAAGTTTGCTATCTGAAGAAAAATATCTACTTCTCTGAACATCTTCAATTCCCTTGCCATTGTGGAAGACATAGCTGATTTTATGATCTATCAAATATAGTTTCTTTTAAATAAAAGATCTGTTTTCAAAAGAAAATTTTCAAATATCAAAAACATATATTCACAGACTTCTCTCATTCTTTGAAATTTCTAGACAAATGGAGTATACTAAACAAAGGATGCTCAAAGTAATCTTTCTAGCTTAGTTTCTTAGAATGACGAAGTGCTTTGGCAAGCAGTAAATATTTGATGAATTGCTAATCAAAGTAGCATCTAGTGTATACTGTTATTAAACTGATAAGAACAGATACTACACTTGATCTTAGCCAAAAGGCCGAGAAGCGATAGTGTATACTGTTAAAATAGTTACTATTTTATAACTGTAAATTTAATATCCTATTTACCCACCAAAGGATTTAAAATATTATAAGATATATACAAGAAAAATGTTTAAATATAAAAAAATCAGAGTAGAAATCATCTTCTCGTTGGTTTTCCTGGGCACCAGATAAGGTAAAACTTAAATTGAGTTTCTAGAAAAGATTTAAAGAGAAATCTGTCCAAATGTCTAGTTATGAAATTAGCCTTTACTTTTTATCATTTTAAACCAACTTTCCTATGTAGCTCCATTTAGACAAATCTACTAGGTATCCCACAAGTTGACACTGATCATCAGACTCTCCATTTGTATTCAGTAGTGGAGCTGGTCATAAAAACAATGAGGATGAAGAGCACAGGTCACTACATCTCTATTTGCTCATTCATATATAGGACATAATGGCTGTCCTAACATAAACACTCAGAACTACTGTAAATTGTAATTACTGTTTCTAAAACTGTGGAAAAAGGCAGCATGTCAGTGTGAGGTATAATGTTACCATTGTTGTTATCATCACTACTTTTGCTGCTATCTTAAAAAATAAGAGTTATAATTATACTGCTTGCAACTTACAATCAACTCAGAGCTAACTTGAAAATAGCCACATACTGCTCTCTTATTTTTCTTACTTCAAACAACCAGAAGTATGGAAAAGCTCACTGTAAGAAATATTGGCAGTGAAAAGGACAAAAAATGTATTTCTTCACTTCGGATACACCTTAATGCAGTTTCATATCCAAATACTGTTTTTCCAGTATTGACTATTAAGTGATTTTTTCTGCAGTGATTTTACTTCACAATCATTGACCCATCAGATTTGATGGGCCGATGTGGGACAGGATATTATATCGATTTGTTTCTGTGTTTTTCAAAAAAAAATCTGATTCAGTACACTTCCACATTCTCATTTGCAAATACTGTCAAAAAGCATGGCTGGTGTAGCTCAGTGAATTGAGCGTAGGCCTGTGAATGAGAAGATGATCACAGTTCGATTCCCAGTTGGGGTACATGCCTGGGTTGCAGGCCAGTTCCCAGCATGGGACGCATGAGAGGCGACCATACATTGATATTTCTCTCCCTCTCTCCTTCCCTTCCCCTCTAAAGATAAATAAATAAAAATTTTAAAAAATCAACAGCAACTGATTTCTGAAAAATCATTAGGGGACATAGTAGGGACTGCTGGTGTGTTGTTTCAAGAGGAAGTCAAAGGAAAATATATATTTTTGTAAACATTGAGGACACTGTTTGACCAAAGAGGTATGGCGCATACTCTGTGAGGCAAGAATGAGATTCTGAAGTAAGATTGTGCCAAGTAAAATCAAGGGAAGGCATGGTACCAGCTGTGAAAACAAATATGCTTTGGTTCTTTTGCATCCTATTCCTCTGTTCTCCCCAGGTAACTGAATGTATTTGGTAGGCACATCATACAGCCCAGGTAGATCCACGAAGATGCCTGTGTGACAGTACATACTAATGTAAAGTGGTCAGTTGCTGTATGATAATATTGTGAGAGGTAGAATATAGGTACACACATATTTTATAAAACTCTTTGGGTACAAATTATTACCCACATTTTGTAGACTCAGGAGTCACATTAACGCCAAAGTCTGTCCTTCCTTTTATGCATATAGATCATTCTCTCTACAAAGTATTGTATTTAAGGAGATAATATAAATAACTTAATCTGCTAATATTAAATACTTAGAATATTAGAGTATTTTCCTGTTATTTGTTTTTGTTTTTGCAAGTATACATTTATGTATTTTTACATTTTAGATTATTTTTAACATTTGTTTATTTACTATTATAAAGCATTTGTCCCCTTTTCAAATTTTTAAAAAAGTTATGGATACCATTGGCAAATATGTTTTCCCATACAGTTGGTTCTTTTTTTATTAAATACTGTTTTCTTTAGCCATGCAGAAGCTTTTTGGTTTGATGAGATCCCATTTGTTTATTCTTTCCTTTATGTCCCTTGCTCTAGGAGACATATCAGTAAAAATGTTTCTGCATGAAATATCTGAGATTGTCCTGCCAATGTTCTCCTCTAGGACTTTAATGGTGTTACGGCTTATATTTAAGTCTTTTACCCACCTTGATTTTATTTTGGTGTATGGTGTAAGTTGGTACTTGAATTTTACTTTTTTACACGTAGCTGTCCAGTTCTCCCAGCACCATTTGTTAAAGAGGCTATTTTTACTCCATTTTATATTGCTGCCCCCTTAGTCAAAAATTAATTGACCATAGAGAGTTGGGTTGATTTCTGGGTTCTCTGTTTTGTTCCATTGGTCTATGTGCCTGTTTTTATGCCAGTACCAGGCTGTTTTGATTACAGTGGCCTTGTAATACAGTTTGGTATCAGGTATTGTGATCCCTCCTACTTTGTTCTTCTTTCTCAAAAGAGCAGCTGCTATTTGGGGTCGTTTATGGTTCCATATAAATTTTTGAAGTGTTTGTTCTATGTCTGTGAAATATGCCATTGGTACTTTAATAGGTATTGCATTGACTCTGTATATTGCTTTGGGTAGTATGGACATTTTGATAATGTTAATTCTTCTAATCCATGAACATGGTATAAGTTTCCATTTGTTTGTGTCTTCCTTGATTTCTTTCTTCAATGTTGTGTAATTTTCTGCACACGGGTCTTTTACCTTCTTGGTTAAGCTTATTCCTAGGTATTTTATTTTTCTTTTTGCTATATCTAATGGGAGTAAAAGACAGAAAACTGTACTTGAACAGCATTTAAAATAAATAAATTAAAGAGTTATGGATACCAGGTGATTTATATTTCTCAACAATTAGAACAACAAGAAGTAGATTTACCTTTCTCACAGTAGCAACAGCAAAAATATCAAGACCAACTATATAAAGCAACCAATTTAAATGTAGCCAGAGATGGACAGTTGTCCCTGAGTGGGGGGCAACAAATAAGCTGTGCCTATGATTGTCCAATCTCAACTGCCTTAAGAGAGGTTCCAGGCAGTAACATAAAGTAAACCTAAACAGAGCTCAGAGTTTTCCCTGGGTTGGGAATATACCTGGGATTTTGAGTGCAGTGAACTAAAGTATTCTGAGTCCTAATGAGGATAATGTTGAATGCAGAAAGGGTAGAGCTGAACTGAGAGGTCTCACTCAAGATCTGGGGTGAGTGCTGATCAGTGCATGTGTGAGAAGGAAGTACCCAAGGACAGGGGAAGGATGAGAGAAAAAGCATTGAAGAAATAATCTTCAAAGGTCACAAAGGACCAATAATAGTTCCTGTGACCACCAATGAGAGTTGGGTGGTAATTCTTTTACAATTTATAAATGTATCAAATTGACTCATCCTACACCTTAAACTTACACAATATTAGGTGTCAATAATATCTCAATAAAGCTGGAAAAACAAAAAAGAGAAGCCACAGGCTGGGAGAAAATATTTGCACATCATATATTTGTTAAGTAATGTACATCCAGAATATATAAGGAACCTGGAAAACTAAAAAGCAAGACACAATAGTAAATAATAATAAAATTAATCATAAAAAATAAACAATTCAATGGAAAAAAGTCAAAACATTTTGAAATGTACTTCATCGAAGAAGAAAACAAGACCTAAAATGGGATTATCATCATTAAAAACTAGAACATTGAAAAATGAATATATGATGAAATACTATTTAAATTTTGTAATGGTCGAAATTTAAAGGCGAGTCAAACAATATATTGGTGAGACTGTGAAGCAGCTGGAATTCTTATTCACTGCTCAGTGGAATGTAAAATGACACATCCAATTTGAAAATCAGGTTGGCAATCTCTATAAAAGTTAAACTACTATTTGACCTAGCCATGAAACTTTCAGGCATTTATGAAAGAGAAACTAAAATATATATCTACTCAAGACTTATACATAAATGTTCAGAGTACCCTTATCTGGAATAGCCTAAAACTGGAAATAATACATGTCTATTAAGAGGTGAATAGATAAATAAGTTGTGCTATAGCCATAATGGAATACCATTCAGCAAGAAAAAGCAATGAAATATTGATACTTATTACAGTACAGATGGATCTATAAATAAATATGGTAAGTAAAAGAAACTGGACAAAAAAGAGTGTATATTATAATCTCTAATGACAAGAAACAAATCAATGGTTACTTGTGGGTAAGGTGTGGGGTGGAGGGAGAAATCACAATGGTGTTATGAAGAAATTTGGGATTGAGGGTATGTTTATTATCTTTATTTGATATTGGTTTCACTGGTGTGTATATGTGCATAGATGAATAAATGCTTGTGTGTCAACAAGCATCAAACTGTAAACTTTAAACACATGCAGCATACTTTATATCAATTATACCTTAATAATTATTTAGTATCAAATGCTCTATTGTGGAGGACACCTTCTAGTCTTGAACAATTCAGATTAGCATGGCCATTTATTTCAACCTATTAAAAGTGACTTTCTCTAAAAATAATTCTTCTAGTTGAAATATTTTAAATGGTTTTTAATATCATAGGGTAATAAGTACATCTTTATGGGGTGGGGGGATTGCCAGTCATTGAAGCTCTTCCTGCTCAGCATCTCAATGTATTAAGAGAGTCTTGTCCCTCTCAGCATGTGACTTTAGGAGCCAGAGCAATAAACATATGATTATGACAGGAGATGCCCTCAATAAACTCTATGTGCTCACATAAATCATGCTTTGCCTAGGAGAATCTCCCTGAGTCTTCTATACTACCTACATTAAAAAATTCAATTCAAATTTGAATTGAGGACATTAACCTCAAGCCAAGCTATATGCCAATACAAGGCTCAGACCACTGAACTATAATCAAATTTATTCAGAGGGAATATTTTCTCATCCTCCCAGATGATGCTGATCATCATTCCAAGTAACAAGCAGGACAAAATAGCAAAGAAGCTACTAACATTTTGTATTGTCTTGTGACACTTTGACCAAGGATCAATGATATATTGAAAGTCTA